TTAAGTATAGATGAAATTAGTATAGATAAATATATAATAGATAGATATATAGATTAGTGATAGAATCGTGTATTAAATCATAAAATAATTCAGTGAGATAACTTTCGGAGTATGCCTTGCACTCTCTACTCCCTATGATATTTTAAACAACAAAGCTTGAAAGAGACCTATAGATAAATGACCATTTATTAGCAACATATCCGGCCTGTTTAACAAAGAATCTCACGCCGAGAATTTATACGATATCCAATCTCTCAAGAAAAACTTCAGTTATGATGCATATAGTATGGAGGCATGTAGGACAGTGGACAGTAAAGATAAGCAACAGTACACTTGTTAGCAGAGAAATAAGTCCCGTATTAACTGACCATGTGTAAAAATCGCCAACTGCTTGTTATAGGAGATAGAGCTATTGCTCATTACCCGCGTTCATTATCACTTTTGTATTGCAGGCAGATGTGGAAGTATAGCTACAGGGTAGCTTGAATATTTTACCAAGTTTTCAAAAAACATGCAATGGAAATTACCAAAGACTGTTTCTTAAGAGTAGTCTGTCCTTTAAAATCGACTATTTGCCTTGACTACAATGCAGCGATTTTCAGGTACACTTGGAAGAACTAAAAATGTTTGGTTGTGTGGCATTGTTTCGAAGGTTTTCTTTATAATCCATGTAAATGATATCTACTGAGGGACAGAGGCATATTTTTTATCTTTACGGGGGTTGCAAAATGAAGCGGAATGCTTAAAGCCGAGTCGTCGATTCATACTTAACTTCAAGTTCTACAAAACCACATGCATATAACACTCTTCTTCTCTCAAACGCTTCTTTCCCAAGTAATACATTTCTGGCCAATTGTTGTCTTCGGTGCTGTTATTAAACCGTTTTGTAAATGAATCAAGCGAAACCACGGAGGGAGGCGCCCTTTGTTTCTGTGAAATTCCGTTCAACGGTCAAATTCCTGCCACTTTCGGTACAAAGCAACTTACCAACGTATGTTTGGCATCGTTTCCAACACCGCTGCTACAGTATATGCATGTAGATAAAGGTTCTTTGCCCAATCTGTGCAAGAAACTTGGATGCCATCAGGAACTGGAGCGTATAGCATGCTAACTTCGCTGTCAATGTAATCAACGATTATCGAGATGACCGTGGATTCCGATTTTCGGATATATAATAGAAAGTTTAGAGATATGCTGGGCTTCTTGTAGGAATGTTTGTTTATGACGAGAAATTACCTACGCATCTGACCTTCGATCTCCAATAAATACCTTTCATCATTTAGGCCAGTCTCTATAAATGTTTGCTTAAAGATCAAGTTTTCATTTTCAGAGAGCACTTAGCCATTATTCGGTAACTAAGACCTCCTAAAAGTTCTGAATAATATTTCGCACTTCTGGCAGCGAGTGGCCGTGGAAGGCGTGTTGTTCCTATTTGCCGATGACGTCAAGCTTAACAACAAACCAAGTAAACATACTTGGCAAAAGCTGTAGCATCTCATGTCAAAAGCGAAAGGCTTAGTTTGAAGTATTTCTGATATGCAGAGACAAGGTCCCGCCATCGGCGTCGGACATGTGAAAGTGTTATGCGTTAGCTGGTTTATGCCAATGAAGGCATAGACTATGAAATTTGCCTTGAGAAGTCTGTCAATTGCTATTATAACAGACTAGAATTGTAAGAGATTTCACTTACGAAATTTTCGAGGTGAAACTCTTCATTCGATTTGCATTGGACAGGGCCGGTTTATCGGAGCGACTCTGCGGAGATTAAAAACAGAAGTAAAACAACTGAGGAACTTGTTTCTTAGGGACACCTGTAATGAATCTAAAATCCGTAACCACTGTTTCAATAGAGCATAAGTCAAGGGAGAATACTGATGGCGTCTTAAAGGAACTCCGACTGGCAAGTTTACCTGCGGTAAGCTGAAAACTAGTATTCTACACATGCCAGAAAAAACATTAAAATGCGAAGACCGTGAGTCAATGCATGAGATGGAATTTCCTGACACAGCAATTTGAGCTTTTGTGAGAGCTTTTGTTGTTGTTTGAAAGCGATGTTCGCAATAAAATAGCGTAGTACTAGATGCCGTGGCCTGCCAATAATGTGAGTAAAACTATCTTACGGAATCACAGGCCTATACACTCTGTGCCTCGTCAACAGCGTGAATGCAAGAGGCCAGACCATGACGCCAAAAATTCACGTCAATAACGAATCACCAACAATCACAACCAATCGTGAAATGGCGCAAAAAAGCAAGCTTGACTGTAGGACGAGGATTGGCTGAAATGTTATGCAACATACACTTCGATCGATATACGGATGCGATCCAGTCTTGCATATAGTAATTGTTTTTTTTCATTTGCGGCAGCAAGTGATTAGTCGAAGAGGTGAGTCTAGCCAACCATAAACGGATGAATCCGGAAACCTCATGTACAGGATGGAACCAGCTGGAAATCGCAGCTTGCGTAGGTTTGTGCTTGTGGTGGAACACTCTGATGCTAGTTCTAAAAATGGAGTAGCCTTGGGGTAGCAGATCTCAACATGATAATGGCGTAGTTCAACCGTTTCAAACTGACGTTCTAGGTTCCCTTTTCTTAGACGGTATTATAGGAAACAAAGCTCTACTCCGTGTTAGAATATTTTAAATCGAAGCTGCCGTAGCGACGTGTCATGCCACAAGAACTGCTGATTATTTAAGCATGCAAAAAACTACGCAGCAAGTATGCGGATTTCTATGCAATTTCGTACTTAGGAATTGCCGGGTGTCCCTAAACGGGTGGCGCGGCGTTCAAGGATTAAACAGTGTATATCGCATGTTGGCCAAGGACAAAAAGGCCAAATGTCATGGCAGATTCGGGAAATAGACTGCTTAAATTATATCGATATATAAGAATTCTATGGTGCTAGCAAGAACTAGCGATTGTATTGTTAATTACAAAAAGAAGGAATACGTAACTTATTAGTTTTGAACTATGAGGAATGACATCAGTGTCAACCATAAGCGATGTCTAGATTATATCAAAAACGGCAAAAATATTCTGCATAAATACTCTAAAGGGTGTGGCTGTGAAAATTTCACATCGGGCAAATTTTTCTGCTTTCAAATGTGGAAAGCTTAGTATATAAATTTGCTTTTCAAAAAATCCCATAGGAACAGTCCAGCGGCGATAGGCCATATTAACGAGGTGGCACGAGCTCCCTGTGCGTTCATTAAAGTTTTCTTTTCGACGTCTGGCGTGCACAATGACAGGTGGCTCCGTCTTGTTGTAACCGCAATTTTTCCAGGTCAAACTCATTTAAATTCAGCTACAGAAAATCTTAATGTAAATCTGTAACGAGAACTATGAATACGTTAAGACGTTAACAAGTTAAGAAAATGCTCCGATTACACCCCCGAGTCAACATCATACGTTTTTTTATTCCATGAAACGGTTGTTAGTAAATGGCGTAAGAGTTCTAGTACATCCATATGCAGAAATTTTGTTTGTTAACCGGTTTAGCCAAATAGAAACGCAAATCAACTGAAAAGATCATTTTCAATACAATATTAAGATCGCGTTGCAGCTACACTTCGTCCCATGCAATATACATACGATGCTTCGTATAGTCTGTGGGTTCGAGCTTTTAGGCTAACTAACCCTTATAGGACCGAACAGCGAGACTTCCGTGTAACATAACACCAGACACTACTGTGCAACAAGGACAACCGTTTCGATCGACGAAGGACTGAAATACTTGCATTCTTTAGCTTGTCCTCAGCCACTGCATTAAAAGCTTCTTCTGTGCGGAGGCCCTAACACAATACTGCGTAAAAATATCCTACAAAGCGAAGTTTGTCTCCCGTACATGGCACAACACGGCCATTGACTTATAAAATTCCTATTAAAAAACTTCATGACTTCAGCCTTCTGATAGAGTTCACGGTGGGCCCACGGCTTAAATGTAACTCAAATGTTTGAGATGATCCCGTATATATATATATAAGTCTTCTCTCTATTTTAGAGCAACTGCGCCCTTAAATTTTGACACTGCTCGAAATGCCTAGAAAGTTATTATTTCTATCTTGGATGTTAAAGTTTTTCACAGGACCCGTTTATCGATTGATGTTCTGTTTATTATCTTCTGTCACCTTTACTCAAAGGAAAACCACACGATATATTGGCTTATCCGCACGTGTGTAGTATCTAAACGACCCGATATTTTTTCATTGAGTAAGGTTGGCAGAAAGTAAGACATACTTATTACAAGGTTGAAATTAGGTCAGAATACCTCACCAAAATTTAGGGATTTTTGTTGACATATATTTAACTCGCCAGGTTACAATAATTTCTACATGAAAATATTTTTGTTTGGAAACTTTACTCTTCTAAATCGTCAACTTCTTTGTTACGACGGTCATACAAAGCATAGATTTTACATTTACAGTGAATTTATTTTCTAAAGGTTTCTGTTTGCGGGCACTGTTAGGTAGAACTATTTACATTCGCGACTCGTCTGCCTCTGATTGGTCTTTAAAAGATAAATGCCACCCTCGAATAATGCGTTTGCTAACTACGTTTGGAACACATATCTTGTCGATGTTTTCCTTCACTTAAATCCGGAAATAAAAAACATTATATGTCAAAACTTCTCATTCTAATATTAACTTTTCTTGTAAACATAACTGAAACCTTAAGTTGAATGCGAACCAACCAATGAGCTTTGTCTCGAAAAATATTTGTGAGAAATAAAATAAACAAGTTTACGATGAATTCATTAAAGAACTATATACATGTTTTGTCAGATAATCTATTAAGAAGATCAACGTTCCGTTATGTAACTCTTCTATGTCATATTGCTTTAGTCATACTTTCAGACGCTTCATAGTTAACGCGACCATAAGTTCAGCTTAATTTTGACCAAACCTTTGTGGAACCTGACGAGGTAGTGACCTTAACCAAACTGTAAGTGCGCTTTTTTATATCATACGGCTAAGCAGATAAAAATTCTCCGTTTTTCTTACTTTGACGTTGCCACCACCGGGCTTATGCGTCGCATTGTCCAAAGATCCAATCTTGCTTTGAGCGCTTATAAGGACCTGTATAAAAATTATATATTTAGTATGAGGAGAGACAGAAGTTATCTTTGGAAGCAATTTTTTTTTTTGAATACCGTCCGCTTATTGATTCTGCAGAAAAATCGCGGTGCATGCACAATGAAACTATTATATATATATATATATATATATATATAGAACGAATAATTGATCACCTTATTTTACTTACAGTAGTGCCATACACAATTCCTTTAGCCGGCACTTGAGTTTCTATAGATGTGAAGTGCTGGGTATTGATATTTCAACTTTAAAGCGACTGTTTTCTGTGTTGCATCTCTTTTGTTTAAATCAAAAAGCAATTTCAAAGAACGGGTTACTTATAGACTATTAAAGTGTGTATGCAGTATCATACCTTCTGTGTCATTATTTTCTTTTCCCCGCCTCCAGGCCGATAGTTTGCGTTTTGCATTGAACCTACACGCGAATTGGCAGACCAGTCCAATTTTTGAGTCTCCACCTACAAAAGGCCGGTTAAGTGAGAAACAAAGTTTTTTTTTTTTTGAAAGGTATTTAGTGTTGGTCACATTGATCGATAAAACTGAAAGTGAACATGATTAGTTGTATATTGTTTAAGCTTCAAAACGGAATACGGCAAATTTTTTTCGCGGCGTTTGAGTTTTTTTTTTATTTAGGTCGTCTTGTTGATTACTAACAGAGTCTACACAAAAACACTTGAAATTTCAAAATCAGGATCTTTTACGAATGAGACTAAATGGTCAGACGCCTTTGCTATGAATTTCTCTACCATCTTGATATGCACAGGTATTTTCTCGGCAAGCTGCTTTCGGGATCATAAAATGGAAGACCAACTTGATTTTTTTTTCGTAGAATCCTGGACCGTTTATTTTGGACCGTTATAATTAGCTAGATCTTGACTATCAGAACTTGGCGGAGAACGGCCTGGACATGGAAATTCTATTTTTAAGTAATAATTCGTAAAAAAATCTATCACCATTTTAGGGAACTCAGTAAACTAATCGGATATAATTTTAGTGATCTTAGGCCAAACCATGTACGATGTTCTCTTTTTTAAACACCTTTAGAATTGTCTTTTTCTTACGGTAAGCATTTACAAGTAATGTGCCATAATGGATGGCATGGAAAGTAGTGATGAACTGTGTATTCTAACCACCGTTTGTGGTGGGCTTCGTTTGTATGAGAATTCGGCATGCCTCGAAAATAAACACACGCCTGCTGCATAGTATAATTTTCAAAAAGATATGGGCGTGCCATAAATTCATATAGGTACAGGCGAAGAAGAACTACGTTTATTTCAATAAGTCGAACTCGGCTAAATGCTAGGTGAAACGTACAGATGAAGTCTTCTACTTTCTACACAATCATGCAGAATTGAATCACAAGTCTGTAATAGTTAGTACTAGCAGAATGACAGCCCATCGTTCAGCCTTTAAAATTAATGCGGTAGACAAGGATATACTTTAGATATGTATTCGTTTTCTGTCTCAGTCTGGATACTTATTGCAAACACTGGGCTTTTATGAGCGAACTATTTTTAACTTTATTTTCAATAACATAACTATAATATCTAATCGATTTTTCGAATCATTTTTTAATCTAAGCCACTTCATTAGCGGACTTCTTCTACAGATGGTGAAATAAATAGACACGTCGGCAGTAAGTGAATACACCATGCTGTTTTTGGTGCAGGTAAAGGATCCATCCTTTAAAAACGATCTTCCCGAACTGTGGTATATAAAATGTCAATCAGACATCTCAGGGCCAAATATGTTTGAAAATAGAACAGATTTTAAATTCATTATTATTAAAATTATTAAAAAAGACGTATTAAAAATTCCACCTGTACCAAAGCGACAATTATTATATTATTACGAGATATTAGCCTGAGGAAACTCGTGGATGGGTGTTGTAAAGTAGGATAGTGCGCATTTTTTTATGACAAGTGAAAATCTTATCAAAGAGTTAAGATCAAGATTAAGAGTCACGATAGGAGACGGAATAATTTTCTGTTCCTCAAGCTCAAGCGTATATAATTTAAAGTGTTTGCATCGTAGAGGACAATAGGCGATGTGCACCATGTTAATGTCAGTTTCTTAAAAAAAAACAATGAGTGACAAATTAGAGTGGTAAAGTAGGGTGCGAATAAGCAGCCAGTAAAAAGCTTCTGTAATGCTGGATCCGCAGGGCAAATAAAACAAGCACGAATATTTTTTGTTCACTTATTTGGTTAAAAAATTATTGTTATGTACGAATATATTCAAATTAAAGAGTACATTTATAGTAAAATGAACTATTCGATCATCTTCCATCTTGCTGGATGCGCCGAATTTGAGTTTCCCTATAGCTAAAATACTTGAAGCTTTGCGTGCTAAACGCTTTAGGCGGCTAGTCATTCTCAGCACAAAATAAAGTATATCTAAGCCCGTTTTTGAACTTCGATTACGTTACCTCAAATGTTTCAAGTTTAGTGGTTGGCCAACACGTTACCACTGCCATTCCATTATCATGACCATGGCGCTCGGAATTCTTATCGCTAATAAATACAAGGCTACCAAAATTGATTCCAAATAATTAACCAAGTTCTTGAAAGCATCTTCGAATCAATGAAATAGCAAGCGTCAATTTACACAGCACCCATTGTCGAATTTTTTAAAGGCGAATAGGGGATCGAAACTGCATCATAAAGAGTCAGAAGTACCACTATATCTGTTTGTTGTCCTGATTTGTTATCAAGTTCTGGTCATGTAGATACGAAAGTAAAGGTAAGACATCCAAGTCTATTTGATGCTAAAAAAAGCTCGTGTGTGCACGCAATTATTAGATCAACCAGCATCTCAGTACTGTACATCTCCTCTGTAATGACGTACGGCAAAGGAAAATGCCCGAAACTGACTGGAGGTATGTAGATTATGATAGCATGGTCATGGCTCTTAAGGGAAGGCAATTGTTTGCATAGAGCAGGTCTACCGTCATACATAATTATTCGCGATTCAGTTCTGCCCATTTCATTATCTACTGCAGCTGCTGAAGAGGACGAAGGCAATACATGAACAAGTTTGCCGGATTCATAGGATGGTCACAAACTGTTCGCCTGGTCGCTAGGATGATCCTGTAAAGTTGTATAGAAAACTTGAAAAAGCTTGGCTGCGACAACAGCATATCCGAGAAAAGCAAGGTACATTTCGGAGATCGTTCACGCTTGTTTGCGTTTACGATTATTAAAAGTGACTTCGTGGATTTTAATCGACCATAAAAAGCCAAGCTGCTATGCGATCATTTCGACAATACGTACAGAAATAGAAAATTTTAAATTCTAAACAGGTGCTAGCACTATTCATTTAATGTGGCTAAGGCTGGCCTTACTAAACTTTTAAGCTATATTCTTCTCCCTCTCCCCCCCTCTCTCTCTCTCTATACATATATATATATATATAGAAGAAGTGTTTTTATGATAGATATTGACTCGCCTCATGTAAGGAAAGTGTATTGGTCCACTTATTAAGTGAATTATTTTACCTATGGTCTAAACTCTAAAAAGAATGATTCACAAGACTAGTATCTCCAACATCAAGCGACGGAGCGCATATCGCCATAAGACGACAGAACGAGAAGGGGCGCTAAGGACTACTCGCTTGTTTTTGAAGTAAATGGAAAAACCTGTCTACCAAAATGCGTTTTGTGTATGATATCAAAATAATAATATTTTTAAAAAAGCCAGGGCACCATGTCATCCTGCAAAATTCCTTCTAACCTAACAAGTGGCCTGCTTTGATTCGTGTGATCAGCGAACAAATGCGGTGTGTTTCATCTTGGCAGTACAAATTTTAATAATTAAATTTCAATTTGATACTAACGTGAACCCAGTTGGTTCTGATTGAAGTTGCTACCCGCCTAAACATCCGGTTTTTAGCCGCTCATATATTGATGAGTAGATTTATCGTGCGAGTATGTCCCTTTATGTATATTGTCGGGTTTTTAAGACATTTGGAATTTCAATCCGTTCATATAAAACTATGTCGTATGCCTACTTCTTTATGTATCAGTAATTCAGGATCCGTTTACCTTCGGGGACTTAGATTAACTTGAAAAATAGAGCGAAAATTCCTTCGAAAAGTTCATATGGCAATTTTGTACCATGTATGCCATATTTTCGTAAGTATAATATTAAAATAGATAGCTCACGTTAATGATAGGTTAGTCACGCTATTCCAAAGACATTCTGTTGTAAAAGTGTGTGAAACATCGCCAAGCTTAAGGGAACTATTTGGATCTATGAGATCGTAAAATTAGTACCAATATCCGAGGCTGCGCTAAGAGGGTATTAGCAACGGTATTTTTGACGACTTAGTCAACCTAAACCATAAAATTGTTTAATTTTTAACGATGCGGCGAACCAATTGAAGTAGTGTATATATAACTTGAAGGAGATACTAGGCTAGTTAGGCGACTTTTGTATTTTCTTAGTTGAACGATGGTTTCCAGCGAGTTGTGTACTTTCCTCGATGACACGTCCAGGTGCCTTAACACACCGTTAAGAGCCCATTTATAATTTTTTGCCACAAGTATTGCTACCGGTTTGGTTCACGCGGCAAGTTCTGGCCGTTGAGCCCAACGTTATTTCTCTACCGCACCATGGTAGCCTTTTCAGACGATTTTCCCGGTTCGATTCGTATGGATCTAAAGCCCGGTGTACCGCTAACCTTGATTATCTTGGAGTGGGCAATAATTTCTTTGAAACCTACTGCTTGCGGTATTTTACGCAAGAACTAATTCCTTGCTTTTGCTTTGCGGGTGACTCGGGTACGTTGATTTCACCGCTAGCGTACCTTGCACCGATTTTTGTTAAATACCTCAAAAACTTGCTTCTTGTTTTTGATTGATATCCTTTGTTCTTTCAGTTGTTATCTCGTATGTCCAAGCTTGAAGACTTAAATCAAACATCATCGTCAAAAGACCTGGTTGAATGTAAAGCTTGTAGTATAAACAACAGGACGGGGCGAAGGTGTAAGGTGGCTCTACTCTTAACGTTTTGATGCTCTAAGTGCTTACACTAATTCTATGACGGCATAATTTTCTCATAAAGCTATACATGTATCGTGGAAAAATCTGAATGCCTTTTCTAAACTAAACACTACGAATTTCTCAATAGTCGATCTAGGGAGTATCATTTATTTCATCAATTTCTTCAATTACAGCACTTAGTAGGTCTTTTAGAAACGAGAGTATGGTCATTTTACTAGTTCGGCGTGCTATCCCACCTAGGTTCTTGCACTGTTGACCTGTAACGTGCTCAGAGCTCTGTTATAGCTGGTTTGAGTCTAAAAATATTCCAAACGTACGTTCAAACTTAAACGTAAGAATTAGGGCTCTGTGTTAGGTCGTAAACTACAAAGGGAGTCCACTGGAAGGTTCATGGACCAAAGAACACATGATTTCAAATAATCTAGGAACGAGTCGGACGCTAATGCAATTCCAAAGTTAAACCAATCTCAATGTAGACATTATCTAACAGAACTGCTAAACGTCAACTGTAGCAAACGGTCAGTATGCCAAACTCACAAACTGGCTGCAAGCCCAGTGTCGGAAAACATAAAAGATGCAATAAAATAAGATGGAATAGAACAAGATTCAGAATCTACGTCTAAAATTCTGAAAACAGGCCCGAAGTTCCATACTGACATTTGTACCACGCAAAAACATCTTACAATTCTGCAGCCATCGTAATATGAGTATTTCTGGTCAATGCGGATTACTTCACTTTCATTGTGTATGTCTCGAGTACTTTTGCTGTGCGGAACGCATGAAGCACCTCTAGAATTACATTCAGCAAATCTTTGCAAAGGAACGTTATGCAAAGTAGAACCTAGTTTGAAGCACTTCTAAGGAAAGGTAACCCTCTCAATGACAGATACTAGCATAAAATCAAAAGGTTTTTTTCTCTTTTTCTATGAAATCTCTTCATCTTTGCATTCTGATGTGATTTCAAGGATAGCATAAGACATCAGATTTCGTACGATATACGGAAAAATAAGACCCTTAATCAACTAGGTTTCGGGGCCTGAGTAGGATGAACATATAAATCACGACTCTTAAGGATTTATAAAATAATTTCATTTAATACTTCGCTGTTGGAAAGTGAATGTTTTGCCCGAAACATATATCGGACAAAACATTCACTTTCCGCAAATATCCCATAAAACAGGGACACTATATTCTTGAATATACAGCTAGAAAAATTTTTGACTGCTTGACATGTTTAACTTTCAATATTAGATAAAGACTGAATAAATCTAAATGAAGAAATAAATCTAAATGTATAAAAAACTCTCGAAATAGGCGATAATACGATGTTTGTACATTGGGTCAATGCCAAATATTCGCCATGCTTTCTATATTGACTAAGTCCTTGAGCTTTTTCAATACAAAACTATTTTTTTAAATAATTTGCAACAGTCATTGATAGAACAGAATGCTAAATATAAATGACGTTCAGCTAACCTAACAGAAAAAGATGCATCTTGACTCATGTGAAAAAAGACTTCTTCCATGTCAGCCAAACCTGACACGTATATGACGTCAATTACACGCCATACTTGGAAGCTACTCCCAAATAATTGTACAAAATAAAAGAAAAGTCGGAACACCTATGAGGTCTAACCTAGGCGAAAACTTTCAAGGAAAGTATTAAGGAGCACACCCAAACGTTGTATAGTATTTATTTATTGAGGTCTTTTTTAAAATGAGTCATTTAGCTTAATAGGCGCTTCCAATAGTACTGCAGGTCGATCTAGAAGGCACCGCAACATGCTATAATATTAAGTGTTTCGAAAGCTACATAATCGATAATTACATCGTTACAAAATCTAGTCTGTCATATGGCATCTTCTTACCAATGATCGGCTCAGTTTTACACCATAATAATACAAGTAAAGATGGTCGCTTGTTACTGACAAGAACAGCTGCTTTTCACCTTCCGAAACAAATTTTCAGTAAAATAATTGCTTTCTATTAGTAATATAACTTCAGTATTATATTAGGTATCTTATATATTAACTGGCAGTCTGTACGTGGTGCATATATATATATATATATATATATATATACATCTATATTTATACAAACCTTAACGTTGCCTCCTTGGGGTTTATGTTTGACATTGTCCATGGATCCAATGCGTGACTTAACCTCGGCGATGTTGGGAGGCGGAGCAATGCCAATTTCGACCTTTTTAGGCGGGACGCCTGCAATATAGAGAACATGTAAAAACTTTCTTTATCTAAACACATTATGTAGAACAATGGATATGCCTCGTAGTGGACTTAGTTCGAAACCAAAAATTTGTCATAGAACTGAAAAGGTTATACGATCCTTATGAAGCTGAAAAATCTACAGTCTTTATGTTTAGTAGCTTTCGTACGCGTATTTAGTACATCTCCATTTATTGAGAAAAACGTAGCGTCTAATAATCAGGTCTTTCATAAATATCTTCCTAATATCAAGATCTTCACGTACAACTTTATCAATCCCTTGGAGTCGACGTAGAAAACATGGCTATTTGCCACTCAAGAGGAGTGGATTTAATACCGGGTATTAGAAAAGCGAAAATTTGTGAGATTAAATTGCTCATCCATAAACAATCAAATTACTTGAGATAAGCTTGAGATGTCAACACCCGGCGCATTCCTTTAGTTTCTTATATATAATTAAAATTGTCGATCTTGTTTTTAACACATACTGAACTATTTTGTTTTTTGCTTGCAGTTTTTCCGTTACAGTTAACTGTTATGCCTTCGATGTGTATTTATTACAAGTTAGCCTCTCGCATTCTCATCCACTGAATAATATGGATTCAATGCGTGTGTATATTTTGTCCATGAATCAATTCTTTTGAGTACAAAATTTTAAAGAAATATGTTGACGACTGAGGTACTTTACGATACAGAGTAATTTATTTCGGCTTTCCATGGCTTTTTTATGTCTTTCAAAAAAACCGACAACGCCCTTAACAAATGGCGAGACATATTGATAGACCTACCTTCGGCCTTCTGCCTCTTATTTTGAATGGCTTGTTCTTCAAAACATACTTTATGGATAGGAACGATTGCAATATAAAACGGCAGAATTTGAGCCACGATCTGGACTAAAGTAAATTTCTATGTAAAGTATGTGAGACGTTTCAGGTCGACAAGGTCACATCGAGTTAAACTTTATTATGCACCAAAATCTTATGCTATATCTTATCTTTCTTATTCCTTTATATCGCAAATTTTTTGGATTTGTTCGACCAATCAAGTCAAGCAACAGTATGCGTTTATCAGTTTTTTGCCTTTCAGAAATTTACGGAAAACATCCTTTTTAGATTTTGCTAAAGAGTATATGTTACCTTAAGGAAACATGGTTTTTCCGTGTTTAATCACATTTTTCTGTGCTAAAAGTTATTATTATTCTTTGTTTCTGGTTAAGATTTAGTGCAAAGAACTTCTTCCTGCAATGGAGGAATTATTTTGGCGGAAAAACATTCTCTGCGGGAATGATAAAACAATGTTTATGTCTGGAAAGTAGGCTTACCGACGCCACGTACGAATGCAGGCTTACTTAAGCAAAAGCTACAAGAGTTACAGCACGTAAGGGTTATCAATCATTTATTAAGCTTTAGATTACTGTTCCGCTGTCATATTTTTTCGCCCTTTTCCTACTTCCAATGGGCCACATGTCAACAGATGTACGAATTGCAGATGTATTTTTTACTGTAGAAGATCTTATTTTTCAAAAAGATCTCTGTAAAAATGTCTTGTAAATTCTGTAAAAGAGACATGAACACGCGACCTATGCAAAGCTGAATATATATATATATATACCCCAGTCATCACTAGAGCCCGCCACCTGTATGGCGATCGGGTTGTCGATGATCTTCTCCCAACTTTTATCGGTCACCAGACCTTTCAAGACAGACGACATCATTTACCCTAACGCAGCGAATCTAAACTAAAACAATCCAATGCACTTGATTAGACCCACTCGTTCTATCCTCCTAAAAGTTCTGTATGCGCAAACGTCAATTAATCATTGCCCATACAAAACCTGAAAAGCTTAGTCAACTATAACCACTCGCAGCATAGAATATATAGTCACAATATAATCGTACTCCAATAACCACTTACTTGAACACATCGTTAGCTGAGAGTAAACGGGATAATTATAACAAGCATTGAACACATTATCTAGACAAAAGTTGACATTCGAGGTCGTTAAAGGGAGCGCGGAGCCCTATTTATCTCTATCAACACTGTGTCGCCAAATGCCAATGCCCTTGTGAGAGAGCGCTCCATCAAATGCGAAAGTACTCGCTATACTAACGTTTCCGGAAAACGGTCAAGATCTGCTCTCTTTGAGGTTAAAGTTTAGCAGTGCCTCTCTGCGCTTGCAAACGCACTAACAACTATCAGTGCGAGAAACGTCTGTTGAGAGCGCTCTCGGTTAGTGGGCGCTGCGGAGTTTTCTTGCGAGTGGACCTTGAGTAATGATGGCTGAAACTTCATGTAGCAAAATTACCAATCGGATTTTATTAATTCACTTTTGCTAATAATAGTTAGACACTTTATCTTACTTACAGTTATCAGCACAATATCAGAGGATCAAAATGGAAATATGATTATTAAAACATTTTGTGTAACATGGATTATACGAATCTAGTAAATTTAAAAACTAAAAGTATTTTAGTTCTAATTTTTATTTTTGAAATTGAAAAGTTTAAAAAGCTTTGTCTTTGTACAAGTATATTGTCCTTTGTTAGAGTTTGTACTAGATTACAACAATTGTCGTGATATTGATTATAATTTTCTCTTCATTTAGATGACCTGTCAGACTTGCGGAATTCATGTTCTTTACAGGGTTTATGGTGGAACCCATGTACGGCAAAGCGAGTCACAACATGCCGTGCTAGCCGATTCCTCGCTTTTCAATAACTGCTTTTTGTCATACCCGAATCGAGGAAGTCTGTGTCGATCTTCGTTAATTCTTGCTCTTAGTTCCTAAGGTTAGTTTTGAATTGTATATAGAATTATAGGTTAGTAAAAGCTTTAGTTGCCGGGAGCTCAAAGCAACAACACAGATCCTCAGGCGAGTCAGTCAGGAGATACGCGAGGCAATTCCGAGTTGTTATGTGTAATTACAGTGTTCTCTCGACTAAGGAAGTTTTGATGCGATTCAATTGTGTAGGTTTCTCTGCTGTGAGCTCATCTCAGATCAGGCGCATGTCCCAAATGTAACATTGTAATCTTAGCTATCTCAAAGTCCAATATAATGAAAACCGTTGTTGGTGACAAACGATGAGGCGATGGAATCACCACACGACAGAAAGCTGTGTTTCTGTATCTTTCGAAAATGTGTGCTGACGGAAGCGCGCAACCTCAAGTACGGGGACTAGTTAACATCAGCAACAGGTAACCCGGCACGGTAGAAGGTGTCAGTGGTTGCTATCCTGCCTCCCGTTCACTAAATCGTGTTTCACTAATCCGTCTATGCATGGAATGACTACAGCTGATTTCTTGGCCCTAATATCTTATTAAAAAGACCCTTCCGCAAAATGGAGAGTAAGAACAGACTTAAGTTATACCCCTTAGCCAGACTACCTGTCCGTGGGAAAGGCAAAATCTCGGCTACTCCATTCTAGCTGGATATCCTATTATCTTACGAAATCGCAGTTAGTAAGTTGAGCATATTTGTAGAGACTTTCACCTCGGCTAGCATCGACATAACCTTGTCCCTTTTCTCCGAATCGAAAATTACCTTGAAGTTGACGAACACCGCGTATAGTGCGTATATAGCGTGACCAGTGTCACGACGCGACATCAACCATGAGTATCTTGCATGACGTTTCTATGAAGTGTTCTCTCCGGAATCCATATTGCTCCGCTGGGATGGCGTGTATGATTTTCAAGTAAATGTTTAGCCTCTTGGCAGTCAGCAAGAGTAGGTAAAGCAAGCTGAAATCAGCTTATTATAATTCTTTTTTCCCATTGCAAACCTTGCATGGACCAGCGACTTTCTTATTATGTGAACAACCAACGCTTTGATGCAACGTATTGCGTTGCAAACTCTTGCTAAGTTTATATATCGCGTTGGATTGACATCGTTCCTCCTTACACCGCGGCGAAAAGAACCGCGTAACGTATCGTATGCTAAGACGCAAAGGTATCCGAAAGACACGTGTGAAGAACTGAGGAGCGCGCAATATGGAGTTTAACTGGCCAGCGGTTAAACTGCGTGTTGCGTTATCAATTTGCGTAATTGATTTTCTATGTCGAAGTATAGACGAGCCTTTAGCTGTTTAGGGTACATTTACCGTTACAATGCCTATGTTTTTTGATAGATCGCCTTATAAATAGGAGCTAAAATGTAAAACTCAGACTGTATCTCAATCACAAATTTAAAGGTCATCTCAGCCCTCCGAGCAAGGTCGCAGGTATTTCTTAAAGCACAACTTGTTTCTCCGCGGGGACAGAGTGGCTATACAGTAGATTAAAGAATTAAGACTAGATATTGTGCATAAGTTTGGGTACTCACCACGTCGGATACTTTGAGAACTTCGAGGGCGCATTTGAAGAACTTATTTGCAAAGCTTCACATTTGACAGTCTGTGAAGGAATAACGTAGTGAAATCTACTGCCATAATAATGTGAGCTTGAATACCTGTGCCTTTTGAAAATGAATGATCCTCACACTGCAACTTTACTTTATCTGTGGTTATATTTGTTGTAAATATATCGATATGAACCATTCTGGGTATCTCAAGAAAGTCGATTCCGACGTCGGTAATTGTAGTCCGCAAGCCATTCTTAAAAGGCCGTATTGCAGCTTGAGTTCAGCTGATGGAGCCTCTCTTGGAAGTTACCAGCAGTGACTGAAGAGGAAATAGAATGAAGGAAACTGCTTTCAGCTCACTGACGAGTTTCTCCATCGGTAATTATGCTAATTCTGAGTCAGCCAGCCGAATCTAAGCTGCTACAAGCTTAGTTACGAGCCTATTAAGAGATGACATTATTTTCTATAACATGTTGCGTAAGATCGCCTATCTTATATTTGAAGGCCACAGAGATACTTCCACTGGAGTGGTCTGATCTATTGCTCTTTAATGCGAGGCAATGCACAGAGAAGAAACGCGGTGGGTTAACTGGGCTAATTGTACAAGTTTTCATTAGAAAATCTCTATACTATCTAGGTCTTCTGCAATGAAAAGCGCCCAGACATGCTGCGCTTTCGTAGTTCGAAGCATGCAATTTATAATGTCTCCTTGATATCCGCTTTCGCTACATGCTCGTTTAATACCCTTCGCGAACGGTTGCGGTGCTTGCAGATGTCGCCTGCTAGGGCCGCTTCTTCTGCCATCAATGCTGCCAAGATCACGAAATCTATGACCGTGGGAGCCGGTGGGGCCTGTCGGCTGTAGTGTTCTGCTCGGCGTAATGCTACCTATCAGATCAGCTGTACTTTGGCGATAGCTTTGCTTGGCGGTGGTTCGTTCTTATGAAGCTGGGAGTTCAATTGAGCTGACTGGGTTTGCTGTTTAAACCCTTTGGTACTGCTATCATCTTCAGTTTTTGGCTTAACACCTCCTGACCCCTGCCAGTCCGGTTGTCATAATTTTTATACCTGAGGTTTTATACTTTTGCCAATACTCGCAGTTATCTAACCTTGTTAGTAAATATTGCTCACTTTTGATGACTGGGCGCTCTGATATGCAAAACGGAAGAACCGAGAATTTCGCTTTTTTTTGAGAGTATCATTTGTTGCTTTGTGAAGTAATTAACTTCTTGGAAAAACTTCTTACTTTGCTGATGTATTTTTCCGTTCGAATTTTATGTGTCGGTGATTAACCGGTTTGTAGAAGCACCAGAAGTGATTTGTTGGTTCTGTCGACATACCTCTAAGGGCCACACACGACATGGTCGATACATATTTCCGACGTCCTACAGACAGCCATTGGTCTCTCTCAGTGCGGGACCGAGGAGCTACATGATGCTATCGTTCATGATTATTGTTTTTCGTAGCGGAGGAAGCATCCGAGAGTCGCCCAAAGATCTTAAGCATTTCCTTTTGAGCCACCGTCACCAGTGCTATGTGCGCCTAATAAGTGAAACGCTTACCCTTTCAGTTCCAGCACTTGATGAAATAGGAACGTTGATTCATTCTTCGGCGTGCACACGTTCAAACATTTCATAAACTGTTTTATTAACTACTCCGATGCTGAAACTGTGGATATCCTGCAACGCCATTTGTGTGGTGTGTCGATTGTCAGGGCTTGCTGGTTAGATAGGCAATTGTATTGTTCTACTACACCTCAAACAACATATATGAACATTGTCTTGCGTACACCCGTTACAACTTGTATAAATATTCACACTACCTAATTGCGATTCCTTCGGACTCGATGATTGTGATAGGAAATGCGGCCGCTTTTGAACGTTTGTGATAGCCCAAAGGGCGTAGACTATACATCGCTTGTTACTGTTGTTATTTCTGAGTTCAATAGAACACTTGCATAGCTGGCTTGCGTTTGTTGTCGGTTCTGTTAATTTTGCACCTGGGCCAATGAGTTCCCGCTTTACCGTCGTATAAGGCGTACCCAACATTGTCCAAGTGCATGCTAATAAGTGGATTCTATTTAATTGAGGGGGCTCAAGGTAAAAGGGCGTAAGCGCTCTCGCAGGCTTAACTAGCATATCTGAAAAGGGAGAAAAGGCCTCTTATAACCCCCAGCAAGCACCGGATATTTTCGGTGCATGAGATGAAGACGACTCAAATGGCACCCAGCACGTCTAGGAGCACTGTTGGATTGTCGTAAATGTATACAAATGCAAGAGTCCACGTGTACACAACAACACCGGTCAGTCGTTGAGCACACTTATCAGCAAAACTTCCATATTACCTGACGCAAATAGGCTTAGGTAACTTCGATGAATTGATTGAAATGACCACTTCACCGCTAAGAAAGCGCTTTGCATACAACGACCAGGCAATGCTCGATAGTCCCAAATAATTATAAGTTTCCCTGCTCTTCAATTATTCTTCAGTTTAGCTAAACACTTGCTGGTTTCTGTAGCTCTCGATACATTGTCTGACATCAACTCATGAAATATGCCATGCAGCATGATAAAGCGAACGGCTTTCAGCTGTTAAGTTTTCGATAATTTTCAGAGGCACTGTACCGACACGACATAGTAAACAATGCGACTCGTACCCTCTTCGCACCGCGCTCTGCCTGCATCTTCAGCAGACTCAGATACTCCAAACTGGTCATCTTCAAAAACTGAAACGGCATTTCGATTTAGTCCACTGCCAGTAGTGCTTCCACATGAGCGCTGGCGGTTTGAACTACATCAAGTCGACATTTACTGCACTTAAGAAACGTAGACTTAGTCAGGGCGATCTAATATCAACCGTGTAACCCATTTAGCACAGCTCTTTTTTCGAAACCTGGTCCATATAAGTACATAACTTAACTTAAAAAATCCGGTACATGAATTGCTACTGACGTCGGGAAAAGTCAATTCAAAAGACGGCGTTCTCCTGAATTACTGTACTGTGCTAGCTCTTCTTCACTTCAACGCTGAACGGTGCACAGCCTTACCCGCCAAGCCGATTTTGTCCACGAACCACAGAAAACTCATATGGTTTTACTGGCAGAAATGTACACTTACCATAAATTAACTTTACCCAATACCATTTGTCCATACCGTGTCATTCCTATAGCAGTTTGAGAGTACCCATAATATACACGGAAATGGGTTGGTAATATCAGTTATGCAATCGTTTAACGACACATTGCCCTTGGTTGTTAGCAGTGCCTTGAGTATTGGCCACATGTGATAAAATCCCTTACTAGGCTAGAAAAGAGGAAAAGATGGCATCACAGCCTTGACCCTTTTTCAACTGATATTCGGTCGGCGAAACTTCAATTGAGGAAGCTTCGATCCTTTTCACCTTGTTTCTATTAAGTTCACATCGCCAGAGAGGCGTCTAGCCAGAGCCCGGAGCTATCTCGTCGCAGTCGCTGTCTTCGGTTCTACCTGTTGATATTTTATGTTAGGCTTATTTTTTGTCCCTCAGGCAGCCGTGCGATAACAAGCTTCAACCTACTTACAAAATGGTAAGAAATTCGCCGCTTGTGGACATCGAGAAATAACCATGTGAATGCTTAAGATTTGTAGTTTGTAGCACTATTTTCTGCTGTGGATCGCTTTCGCTAATGATCAGCTGATCAAACCGGAGTTTTGCAAGTAATGTAACCGACCTACTAAAGCTCATAGATAATCCCATGAAACTTATCAGCGGCGTTTAGCACCTCTCTGTTAGATCGGTTCCTGTAGGCTGTACGTGTTCACGGAATGGATAAAACTGTAATGTGCTCGCGATGGTATCTACAACCAGCGTCAAAAAGTAACGATATTTAGTAAGTAGCTGAACTCTGCTGGCTGCCAGCTGTGGCAACACGAACCTTTTTTCCGCCGAAAATACGCACATAGAAACATTTATGGCGTAGGACCTGTAAATTTAAAACACTGGGTAATCTAGTGGGAACAGTTTTTTTTGCCACTGGCCAAAAGGATACAAACTTGAGTTTTAGCATCTCTATAATTACACAATCCTGCATGTTTCATTGGCAACGGTTCTTTACTGTCAGCATCGATTATCACTACTTAACATATTAGTTGTGACACATACAGTTTTATGATGAGTCGGCTGGCAATCTTCATGTGCAATCAGTTACATACACAACCTCCCCCAATCATTTGCCGCACAAATGCTTCGCCTAACTATCTGTTGTTATCACTGATAGACCTAGCACCCGTGCATTCCTGAAGTAGATGAACACCCTTACCGCAAATACTCATCGACGCTCGGATGTTATCATTATTCCGGTCGTTTCCATTGTTCCATTGCAGCTGCCCCGATGTTACCGCAACCGGCACTGTTGTCTTCATTATCGGCCCTGTGGCTTTTATTGCTGTTGACTGTGCCGCCGTCAACGATCTACAGGTATGCAACGGACTGCTGTGCACTTTAGGGTTTAAGCGTCCAGCGCGCATGGCGTATCTCTCCACGGGCATTGACTTTGTTGCCAGTCCAAAATAGCTATCTCGCTCCCGCAAACGAGATAGTTGTCGGGAACGATGAACAAATATTTTGGCGATTTCTGTATTAACTGACAAGGCTAGGAAAAAGAGCTCTGATTTAGATCGAATTGTAGCAGTAGACTTGACATGTAATTTATCAGGCGTAACCCATAGCAGAGTGTACTGGAGTTTTATATGAGTTTTATAAAAAAAAATTATTTGTAACATAACCACCAGATTGTTTACCTTGTCTTATATTAACTTCAGTCCCCTTTCATCACTCATCCGGGACAATCATGATAATTCAGCTTGAACGGCTTCGGGTATATCTTTTCCGTTGCCGCGATTCCCTTTACCGTGCGACTGACCCTGTCACTGCTTCGTGGTCTGGCTTTGTCGTCATCTCGCTCTGGCCTTTCGCGATCACTCCGTCGCTGAGGAGTGTCTTTTAACGCCTCCAGCAAGGGCTTGTTGTTGTCCATGGCTGCTGTAAGCTCTACTTTCGTAAAGCCTCTTGTAAGCTTCTATCCATACACACACAATATCAATATCACAGTATATTTGCGACAATTAATTATATCCATATTCTCAACATCAAACATCTCAAAGTTTCGCTCCTCAACCAATCTTATCGTAGCAAATGTTTAAACCTTCGAATCGGCCTTCGAAGACCCCACTATTTGGACCGTGAGGTTTATATCCCTTTCGATAAACCATAATTGCTAATTTGCTACCTATGCAGTGCAAAACTCATATATCTTATTTTTGAAACAATTGTACGCATAACGCACCATGCTGGAGGTAAAACCTGGCGCTCATATGAAGCCATTTTCTACTTTTACTGAACGCTAATAGAAATAATGAGTTGCCAAAAAATGTTATGGTTAACTTCATAAAAATTTCTGTTAGACATGTTCGGAATTGACACGTACGTCATCCAGGTGCTGACTTCATCGATTTATTGGTGATTACACACAGGAGTGTAATCATCAATAAATCATAGTGTCTGCCACAAGTTTAGATATAAAGTTGAGTTTGACTGACAATGGCTATTATTTCACAACATTTTTGCACATTGAGCTGGTCTGTGATGCGGCCTATTTGAGATAAGATGCTGTTCCCGCGCATGGAAGTCTAGTGAAGTCTCCAGGTAATAGACGCTTTCTCTTTTCTCATCCTCTACAAGAAATTAGCAGTAAAATTCTAACAACTATTCCTCATATCAACTATTCCTATACTAATTTCTTTAATTACTGATACTTTAGTTATACATATTAAAGCGGCTAACCATTGTACAAGGACCAAGTTATCTGTATCAAGATCTTCACAAAATCTTAGCAACTCTAAAGAACATGGCATCATGTGAAAACTCTAGTACATCAGATCAGAATTCGCTTGTAGAATTTATTCGGATACTTTTAGTTGCCCGCACGATTTTGTGCCTGAATAACTTGAGATACAGCACAGCTGGTTAACGCGAGAAACATAGTATACCAACTTATTTATTTATAAATTTATGCAGTTTTAAAGACACATTAATCGTACACAAAGGTGACTGAACATGGGTTTCTTCGTATTTATCCATTCAACTTTATATAATAAATATTTCCACTTCTCTCGTTATCACCAAACACACTGACATCATTATCTATCTTCACTTCTTTATTGCTTGGTTCAACATCCACCATCCCTCCGGTTGATACTACGCATGGAATAAATATTGCAACTACCAGTGTAATGTGAATCAATGTGCAGGCAGCCTAATAAATAAACCGAAAAAGGGCTCACCGGAACCAGGACAAATTCTCACTTCAGCATATCTCAGGCTTAGCTCGTTAAAGTTTTAATTTTACAAAAATTTGTATGACGAACTTCTTTTCTCATGGTCAGGATACGATAGCTTTCTTTGTATTTACTCTTACCCTTCTCATTCAAATATTTCCTTTGGACTGCTTAATACTTTTTTCTGACTATCTGCTTTGTACGATTCGAGTAATGCCTTTGTTGAAGTATTCCAAGTGTATTTATTCTTTTCGAATTAACCTAGCTATATTTTGATACCAAAATTACTGGTTTCCATACACAAATACGAAGAGAGATACTGAAGTTTGTATTGTAATTCGGAATAAGTTAAGGGTAACAGTTATTTGCCATGGATGTACTTTTTCATATTGAATTAACGATGAGTAAAAGCAGACGATATATATGTATACAACATAAACTAGATAGTAGAAAAGAAATTACACTCCACAACTTTACAGGCTCCACTAGCGCAATGAATAATTTACCAATCGATGGAGCAAGGCATGAAGGATATTCATATCCATGAGGTGTAAGACAACATGACTGAAGTTTAATATAATTATCTAACGGAGATATCAGATGTTTGAAAGCTTCTTCAATTATAATATCATGTTCTGTATAATGACAAAAAACAGATTTTATGAAAGTTAGAATTTATGGGAATTAGAACATTTTGATGTAAAGGGATTCTCAAACAGCCTCTATAGGCTCACTTTTCTGGCCTCTTTAGCCTACGTCCTTAAAAACTATAGATTTTCAAAGATATGTATATTCTATTCGTTTCATTTTTATCAAAGAATTTTAGGGTTTGTGTGTGATAATATGAAATTCCTATTTTAAACTAAACCGAGCTAATTTTCTCTTATAAGACTAACACTTTGGTAGACCTTATGGCATATTTACACTATATAAGTAATGAAAAGTATTTAGGAGTCAAAAATATTTTTTATATTGTGTAAACGATTAAACTATTTGTATATATAATATGTACTCACGGACTTGTGAAGCGGATCGCATTTTCGGCTTAGATGCAAGAGTAAAGCCAACCCCATTGACAACACGCTTTGGTGATAGCGATGCGCTTCTCGATGACTGTAATTGAAAGAAAATGAATATCACTGGAACTGTGTGAATAAGAGAAAATTTTAATTGGAGCTAAATGAACAACGTTTGAGTTCTGACTCCAAGCGAATTAAAGTTAGAACAAATATTAATACATTTAGGTACCTGCATGTCTAATAAATCTAAAAGTAAAACATATAACATACACAGTTCCCGGATAAGCAAACAACGCAACCTATTTTTTTTGTATATAATTAGCGATGCCGATTTATGTCTGAAATGCAATGGTTCTTGAACATAATGGCGACATGGCGACAATCGCGGCCAATACCTGTTCGCCTGTTTATTTTAAATTGCGGTGTCTACCTTTCGAAGAATACAAGCCAGAACAGATAATTACTATGCCTAATGAGTAAGTGTCAGATGTGTCTATAAAAAAGCATATATCCATGAACATCACCCTTTGTTTAAAAATGTATAAATCGTTAATTTTATCTATATATATATATATATATCTATATATATATATATATGAAATTTATTATTTATAGTATTCCTTTAATTAATATCAGTGGTCCCCGTCTAAGTAATCTTCAGTGGACGATACATACTTATTCCGTTATTTTTTCTAATTCTCAAAACACTATTCAGACCCAGTTTTCGGGATAGCCTTCAGCACAATAAGCAGTTTTTCTGTCATCTTTTATATTGTGTCGAAACGTTCTTTCAGATTCTTTTTCGGTTTTGGGAACAGGAACAAGTTTCAAAAGGGCTAAGCCGATGCGTTGCCGTGATAAAGAACTCAGGACTTGTTGTGCCATACTTTTGATTTATGGTGTCGAACAGATTAAGATTAGCATAATCATCTTAAAACGTCTTGATAGTTTCTTGGTGGTTGAGAGGCCAGACGGCGTAAACTCATAAAAAACTATCCTTTGATGGCCAAAGAGAACAAAGAGGGGCACCGCGTTCACTTTTGTGACTGCTGTCAGAAGTTTTCTAATGTGAGAGTCATCTTCAGTGGACTCGTCTGTGTCTTTAAAACAATTTAGCCACCTATTTACTTGAGTATCAATCAGTGTTTGGTTTCCGTAGTTATTCTGCGACTCCCGATAGATCCACGCAGTGTTTGTGCGATTGCTTTTATTTTTTGCGTAGGAATATCTAAGGGAAAACCGTTGCGTTATTTAGTGAAAATGATACATAGACTTACTCAACCTTGCCGTAACTCGAGATAGCATCAGATTATTATAAAATTTCACTTGTGTGTAGCAGATATACTGGTATTTTATCCTAGACAAACGTGAATTACAAGCATCATCCGACAACGCTAAAACTCAAGCGACTTACACATTCTTGAACATAACTGAGATATATATATATATATACCCTCTTTTTTGTTCTAACTTTTAGTGCATTGGGGACTTTGGACGAAGAGTTTTAGTTAATTTGAATCAGATGAATTCCGATGCCCTAGGTATCGCTGAGGTGAATACTCTTTTATACCTTGTTTCGTTAGCCTCTCTCGCGCTCACGATTTTTTGTACAGCTCAAACGCGTGTCAATCTTTTGTGTACCTGCTGTCAATGGGTTCTGAAAGGGTTGGTGTGCGCGGGCCTATCAAACTCGTTTCTCTTTCTCCCATTTGCCGGGGGTTTTTTCTTTCCGCCGTGGCTTACGCTTCTGTGTTAATGAACTCCCGCTTTGCTTTGCCGCTCTTTGTCTTTTTAGATCCGGATTTTTTTTATACAATATTATTTGCTATTATTTTTAGCACACCGATAATTGATGCTATACCTCCATTTTTCCTATTTCTCTCACAAGTGAGGTTTTACTAATCTGTGTTGGGATCTGACTGTCTATGTATAACCCATATCCAGATTTTCTGAGACCTCTAGCAAATCGACGCAATCTGAATTTTTTCTAATTTTGTAACTGGTGAGAAGACTTTGGTGAAGGAGCTGATAAGGTCGCAGTCTTCGACGTTTTTGTCCTGTGTCAGCACTGTTCTGACCTCCCTATTTTGTATGACACAAGTTTTCACGGCCCATGTTTCTTTAACAGTTTTACATGGCTAATTATTTTTCATTAGTGTCTTCACTTCCTCAATGCCTATCATACCTTGAAAATCTTGCCGAAACTTTTCGCACTTTTTTCTTTTTTGAACCCCTTAAGATCTTGCTGGCTGTCCCCTCGTTTGCCATTAGCCGTAGCTTTTCGGATTTATTGCAGTGGTTCATTTAACTGCTTCCGTAGTTCGTGTTCCTTCTTTCAAGTGTCAGTGAGCTCACCGATCATGTTTATCACTGAGATTCTTCCTCCGTCTTCAAGTGACCTCAGTGATACGGAAGCGGCCACCTTTTTTGGTAATCCTTATGAAGCCGACCAGTCCGAAAATTGCTTTGACTTGATTTGGCCCTAGAATTACTCTTTGTTTGTTTTTAATTGCAAACAACCGTTTTGACTAAAATCTCATTCTATACGACCTATATATGAGGAAGTTCGACCCCTTTATCGTCTACCTAAAACGAGAGCCGTCTGGCTCTGCTATCTGTGATTTGAAATTTTGCTTAATCACCAACATGACAAAAAAACTAACTGTTTTAGGGAAATTTGAGAACTTACGTTTTTAGGCTGACATTTTCCCATGTTACCCTCAACGCGGTATCTTCAGCGCTGGTATATATAGAACTTGTCTCACTAGTCAACAACCCTACAATAGTTTGTTTACTTACGTCGGATTGAATAGTGGTCCGTTTCGTGACTGATCTACTGTTCTGTTGTTCTTTAGCCAGCACTGGCTACATTCATGCTTGTTTAGTTACGCTTATTCGGTCTTTACATCGGGAGCGCTAGCAGCTCCCTGAAATTTGCCCTTTAGATTTTGGATTTAGCGTATTTTGCCAGGAGCTTTTTAAAAAATCCCGTCTTTGTACCACGGCAATAGTATTACTAATCAATTGTCAAGCAAAGTCATAAGAATTTTATGTGTATCAGAAAGTTGAATGACTCCATACAAGAAGACCCACAACCGAATCTAGACAATGGATTACAAAGCCAGCCAAATGTCTCCGAGTTCTTAAAGAATCGCAGCTCTGTTTTAAAGTTTCAAATCTTACTATTAAGGCAGGTTGCAAAAAATTTACTGGATCACTAAATACCATAAATTATAATTATATAATATAAAAAAAATAATTATATAATAACGTTCGTGCAAATAAAAGTGGAGACAAAGTATGTATTTGAAGATGAGTTGAAGCAAAGATAAAAGTGAGATAAAGCTACGGATCGGAACTGGGCGATGTTATGCGTAAATTGTTATTTTGTATACTTACGTGATTTTTCTTATTTGTTTTATGAGCAACGTTTAGAGTACATTTACGGTACAGAACATGATTAGTTTCAGCCGTTAGTATTTTCAAACCCTTAGCGCTAATTTTTTGCTCACACATCCATTTAAGAGATTTCGAAATTTCAATAGCCTAACACTTTTTCTAAAATTGACATTTTTAATTACTTCAAAATTTATTGACATTAAAGTCAATAAGCATAACGAAACAAGGAAATAAGTCAATTTGCATTGCTATTATGGTTGCCTTATCTCCTAGCGACGAGTATGATTACACTAGCTTATTAATTGCAGCTAACAGTTAGTCCCTTGAAACAAGACTCAGAGGCAGAAAGTAATTTTAAGATTAGAAGAGATAGAGAATCATTGTATGAAAAGCCCTCTCTGAAATCCTACCCTCTAGATGTAAAACTGAGTGAGTAAACCCCCAGTCACACGGGACTGATATGGCACCTAGCTCTCAAGTGCCCCCACCAAGGACTGCTCAGCCACAAAAGTATTTAATATTGGATAACAATTCAACTGCCGTCTCAATAATATACACGATACGCATAATGTTGATAGCTAGGGTAATTAAACAAGCCATATGTCAACTAAACAGGAATTATTTGAAGCAAAGGAAAGCAAATGATGAACCAATCACAGCGATTGTCTAAAGCACAGTTTGTGTAACAGTCAACAAAATTATGAGAAAGGCACAGCGTTGAGCTAAACGTTAATACCCAAAATCCGAATTATCTAGCGTTTCAAATCAATGTTCTTTTTGCCAATCTATATGAAGATAACGAATGCACTTCAAAATAGCAAGGAACTCACTAAGTTTTGGGTGAACTCAGTAACGAAATTCTATTAGGTAAGAAATATGTATCTTAGCTAATATACCAACGAAATCAAGCGGCTGCGAAACGGGTTTTCGGCTCTGAAAGAGAATTTCGAGGTGTACCTATAATTTACTTGAGATGAAGTCGCTGGCATTAGCTAGTCAGGGAGTTATGCTGTATAGCGTGGCAACCAAGGATGCATGTCTCGCAAGCGTTCAGGGTCACTTGATTGTTAAATGCACCAATGCCTACCGCAAACTGCCATCAGTTTCACCTAGCCAGCGGTCAAACCTGCTCGATTTCTCAAATATTATCAAATTCACAGCGAATAAAACACGTTTGAGTGAGCTCAAAGTAATACTCTAAGGTCGTACAAATCATAGAGATGCCCCATACTAAAATGGTGGCCAATTCAGGACCGACCACTATGGGAGGCTTATTAGACCACAGCTGCTTTAGGTTTCCAAACGGACAGAAGCAGACAACGTGTGAAGAGCTCTCACTTTAACTCCACTGAAGAATGTTTTGAAAAAAACAGAAATAACAGAAGAACGTAAAATAAAACAATGTTAGTAGGCAAACCACCGTTTAGTTAAATGTATCTGAAGGAAATTCGGCAACTCTATAGAAAGGTCTCAAATTTTTTATCAGGCCTTGATCGGAAGCGAACCATGAGGTTGGCTGGCTCATTGATTGTCTCGAAAACGTTACCGAGCTGAATAATTTAAAGCGATTTCGTTTAAACCTAGCTAACATGTCTAGCCTTAAAATGCACTGGATTTACGGCCAGGCCTAGAAAGGAAAAATTCGCCATTAATTGAAGGGATTTGCAAAGGCCGTAACATTCTGCATCACTTAAC